ATGTAGGGCTGTCAGTTCCTATTGTTTCTTCATTTCTGCAATAAATAAAATATTATTTGCAATATTTCTCTTTTAAGCAAAGACCTTTTACATACCTGAATATTTTAATATTGGTATTTAGCGATCTCATAATGTGCAAGGTCTGTGTTTTGTACAGTCACCTAGTGGGTATTGCTAATTTTATCCCAATTATATTTTTAGAGATAACATTACATAGTAGCATTAAAAAAAAAAAAAAATTTACGTTCTAAATCCTGTATTGGAAAAAGTAGTCTTCTTATCTTATTTTTAAAATTGTGTAAGAAGTATTTAAATATACATGAACATGCATTTAAATGACATGTACATGCTTTTAAAATCGTATAAATGCTCTGGCTTCGGGGGCTTCGCCCCCGGCCCCCACAGGGGCTTGACCCCACCTGGGGCCCTTTGGCGGGCCCCTGGACCCCACGCCCAGAACCCCCCCTTGAAGCATGCTGGCTACGGGCCTGTAGTGAAACCTATAAAAAGAATAGAGATCGGAGTTTTGAGTACGTGGCGCGTTATTGACACGCAAGCGGCAGGGAAAACACTCAAATTCCTCATGAAAAAGCTTATAAATGCAGTTAAAAGTCTTGCTTGTACGACAAATTAGAGGCAGTCCTAAATTGGTCAAGGAGTTTTGGTGGATGAATTTCTGGAACGTGTGAGAGTGTCTTGAATTTTCTACTCCTGAAAATGTGGACCTTTGGTGATTTGGTGGGGGAGGGGAGGGGAGGGAGTGGTGCTGCCTATAGTTATCTCAGTTGCTTTAAATTAGGTCAAATAAAATAAATTGTTTGTTTGCCTTCTTTTATTTAAAAAAATGATAAATAGGATGGAATTAAAAAAAAAACCCACAGGGGACTAGAATGGCAATATCTTACATCAGACAACATCTATAGACTAATTTTAAGGACATCTGGCAAAAAAACCCCATTTTTTTGTTTGTCTGCCCCTATTTTTTCAGTGAGTTATGAGTGGGTGGAGGAAGGCAAACAAACAATTTTTTTTAAATCTAATATGGTGGGAATAGGCTCAAAATAAGCTGTGATGTTTTGCTGTGTCAACTATACAGGGCAAGTTGAGCAAGCCAATGAAAAGGGCAGGTTGGCCAAATTAAGTTATATGTTTTTATACACTGCTATTATTTACTCAATCACAACTGGTGAAACATTAAAAATAACACACACTCAAATAACAGTAGCATTTGTAATCACTGTTTATTCCAAGACTTGTAATGCTTACATTAGGATACATAGTATGTATATATATATATATATATATATATTCTTTACGGTTACATAAGAGCATCAAGCTTATTCACATACATAGACAAAAAAAACTGTTTTATGCCTATATATAGTCATGATGTGCCTATATAAGGCATATTGTGGCAAAATGGCTAAATAGTAGCAAAAACTGAATTTCACGTTATTAGTATGTTTAGATACCTGAGTATGTGATCTTTAAAATGAGGTGCCTAAGTTATTGTAATGTGAAAATACAGCACTCTTAGAATCAAGATTAACATGATTTTGAGTAATTGCCTTCCAAAGTTATTTGTGCATACATTGTTTAATAGAATTAACCATCAAGATAACGTTGAATAAACGATTTGTTGACCACTTCCAGAACTAATACTTTGGCACACGACTAATAAGACATTAAACTGTTGATCTAAATTGAAAAACAAATTTTGATTTTTAAGCATTTTTTTAATCTCCAATATTTTATAGCTCATTCACTCAATGCTGACCTGTGCGACAACTTAACCATTTCGCCACGACATGCTTCATTATGGTCATGATGTGATGTCATCATTACCATATTTAGGCATGTAACATGATTTTGTCAAATCAAATTTGATAATTTTGGCAGAGCTTTATGTTTTATTCTGCAAATTTAAATCTAAAAAGTTTGAAAAAGTTTCACTGAATTTTGACAATAGATTAATGATGATGATCTGGTAATTATCACCATCTAATAATGATTATTTTTGAACTGACAAATTAGTTATCGATTCGAGTGTACCATGATCATCAGTACACCACGGTTTTTTTTTAATCTATTCTTCAAGGAGTTAGACTCAACCACACTTTTTCCATCAAAAAACTTCCTTTAAAAATGGAATGACCTGTTCAAAGTATGAACTGATGTAAACCAAACCCATAACCTTTACAACTGTTTAATCATGCGAGAAATCTACTCATGATACTAAGCCTGAAGATGGCGCTTTCCTGTCGGCCATCTTAAATGGTACACATACACAACTCTGCAATGCTTGTCACCTAGTCAGCACTATAGTTCTTAATTAGCTCTATGACTCTATTATCATGTAATAAGCGTACAGTAATTGCGGGTGAATTTGTTGAGTAACAGGATCCCTTGCAAGTATTTTAAATGCTTAGTAACAAATATATTACAACTCGGCGCATATACTTCTGACCTCATCGACGATACTTCCTCGTGGAATATGCTTTTCTTCTCGCGTCAGTGTGTTACGAATTTTAACAATGCCATCCTTTAACTCCTGCTCGCCAATGATAGCAACATATGGTATCCCCGAATCCTCTGCATGTTGGAGCTGGTTCAACATTTTAGGATTTTTCTTGTACGACATCTCAGCCTGAATTAGTAAAAACAATACAATCAGAATATAATATAATAGATAAATATAAATATACAGTAGGAAACATAAAAAAATATGAAAAATTAGCAGCTTAAAAATAACTAAAAGTTATTAATTGTATCCATTTCTTATTTCTTCCATTGTCTTTGCCACGATACATGGACACACTAAAGAGTAACCTCACAGAATGCGATATGAGTCTGGCTACTTGGGAAGAAGATGCAATTAATTGTCAGTCGGGGTGAAACCGATGTCATGCAGCTACCAAACATCATGAAGAGAAGCGCATCGCTGCTGCAAAGCAAAAGCGAACCGACAGAAAGTCACAGGACCCAATGGCCAGCAGTACAACTTACAGATGTGACGAATGCGGCAAAGAATGTTTATCACGCATTGGACTTCATTTCGCACAAGAGGGCTCATTTACAATTATTTCATAAAAAAAACATTAGTAAAAAAAATTAAAATGATTAACAATATCTGATGTCCTTACTTTGACATTTCCTTCCCATAATTCATAGCAGAGCTTCATTCTTTCTTCTAGAAGATTCTTCTGAGCCGACGCGACCAAGATTTGAATTTCCGTGGTCCGCACTTTATTGTCTGCAGCTTTGGCTTCCATGATGGAAAAGACACGTTCAATACCGATACTGACGCCCACACACGGAACCTACAATAAAATAAATACTATCACATTTCATTTGAAAAAAGCAAATGTCACATGCCTAAATATAGTCATGATGACATCACATCATTAACATAATTATATAGGCACATCATGACTATATATGGGCACAGCATGACTATATATGGGTACATCATGACTATATATGGGCACAGCATGACTATATATGGGCATACAATAGTTTTTTGTCAAAAATAAAACTTATTTATATTTACTTTCTTTCCTTTGGGATCAAACATTCCAACCAGACCATCATAGCGACCACCACCAGCAACGGAACCAACGCCAACCTGCTCTCCCCCCTTTGTAGGCAGTAACTCGGCTCCTGCTCAAAGTAACAACATCAAATGCTCAACAATGTTCTATAATAGGTTCTATACTTCGTAGGTTACATGGCCACAAGACTCACTTGGCACCATCAATGCCACATTGGACTATTATAACTTGTTCACAGAATTTCAAAGAACTAAATGATCAATCACTTCATAAAGTTTGAATATATTCTGTGGTAAGAATCAGGAAAGCCCTTAAATATTTAAAATATCAAACTGCTTATTTCAACAGATCACCTTTGTATAAATCTTGCAGTACCCCACCTAGAATACATCTGAACTGATTTGCCTGATTGTTTCAAACAGATTTTTCTATTCATCTTCAGGAAATCTCAAATAATTGATTTGAATATATTTCACTTCAAATTGATTTTGATACAGTATTCTTAATTACGAGGAACATTTTTGTAATAAAAACTAATATTTTTTGAGTATTTACTCAAAAATACAGTGTTATTCTTTAAAAATTTGAATGTATGAGGTTTTATTTACCTTTCAAAACTGCCTCGTATATCACACCTGTATAATAGTCCAATCCTCTGGCGAGACTTAAGTCAAACGATACCTGTATTATGCAAATTATACTATTGAATTTATGCAAATTTATATATTTGTTAGTTTAAAAAGGAATAGAGAATAACATTTAAAGACTGACTTAAGCTTGGTTTTCATACAATTGCTACACGTTTTCGCTGACAGCTTTCGGTGATGCTGATTGGTCAGTCGAATCGGGGAGCATTCCCGTTTACGTTGGGGAATGCTACAGAGTACAACGATTGCACTGAAAACACTGTAGCGACAGTGTAGCGATTTTATGAAAACAAGGCTTTATGCCAAGTATACACTATCAATGTTATTGCATGGTGATTGGTACTATGGTGACCTAACAGTTAATGTGAGTAGAATAACTGATAATAAATCTAATAATATATGCTTAGCTGAAGAGAGGCCGAATTCTACTCTTAATATAATATTCTGCAACAAGGCATTGATTGTTGTAATTAAAAAGAGTCGCATCCCTAAATATGGTCATGATGACATCACATCACGAATTAATTACTTTACCTTGTCTTCTATGTTAAAAATCTGGCAATATTTTAAAAGCAGCTTCATATCTTGCAGGCCTTCCATTGCCGCTTTGCTCTTCTTCAGCACTTCATCTTCACAGAGTTGCTCCACCAATTCTGAACCGCCTGCCACAAAAGAATGAATAGATCTTGAAGTCTACAGTATTGCTCATAAGCATTATGAGGCCCAACCATATGGATTAAAGGCTAGATCTGATATGATAACCTAAAAACAGCAACTTAAATGCATCAATTAATGTTTGTGGGGGAGTAATTTGTACTTTAACACATCTAAAATTATCCAACCAATAACAGTAATGTTAATGAAGGTCTTCATCCAGAAGACGAGCACACATTGCATGGTATGACGGTCTTACGATGCACATCCATCTTCACATTCTGTGAGTTGATAATGGTGCAACACCGTCTTCTGATGGCAGACTGAATTGATTGTCAGTAAAAATGGTCTGTGCGTGCCTTGCTGAGTTGCATTCTTTGAGGAATCGGGTCGGACAAACGTTAGAGCAGTGTTTCCCTGGTTTTATAAACCTTGTAATCTTCAGATCAGAATCTTTTTTGATTTCCAGAGGCCAAAAAATCTCTAAACATGTTTTTTTCGCTTAAAATAACAATTAAAAATGGAAAAGTATAGAGTATTACAGTGTTACGTAGTAACACTACTCCGTTGCTATCATTGCAAAATGCGTTCAACCCAACGCCATTTTTGCCACTAACAAACCATAACGTAATTATTAAGATGTTGTATCTTACTTTTTCTTTGTAAATTTTAATTGATGATTAAATGTATGTTCTATAACTAATATAATGTCAGCTTTTGTGTTTTTCGTACATTTTGATGGTTATATATTAGATTTTAAAATGCCTATTCCAGAAAGCTTATGCGGTCATTCAGGCATAATGAACGGTAACCTATGTCTGTTGACAACAGAGAGTGCCACCTCATGACGTCATGACTATCATACTCTATACAAGAAGCTTAAATGTGACTCTCCATTATTAAATATCAAACTTAGGTTATAGGTGTGATATT